CTTTATTCATTATGCTCAGGACTAAAGCATAATTCAAAATAATATGTCAAGTAAATAGGAAATATTCCATATTAATATTTTGTATTCACCTTTTGAGCCAGCAGGTAGAGCCTTGGGCTCTGTTTTTCTTGTATCCCCTTATGATCTGTTGTATAAACCATGTTATTTACAGAAGTCAAGATGAAATGGTAAAATTTACACAGATGAGTGAGTCAAGACAGTGACTCATCTTACTTCATCTGAGCTTTTAGTCATAGTGTGTGTGTATATACAGTATATATATACATACAGGCCAGGACTGAGACAAAAAAATAGGCCCGAGCATTTTGGACTGAGCAGCCCCAAGCCCAGGGACCCTTTGCTCAGAACTCCAGCACCAAGTTGCAAGAGCAACCTTTGAGACCCTGGTAGTTCCGCCACTAGTGTCAGTAGATTTTTATTTAATTTTTTACAATTTTATATGTTATTATTTTTTTTTACATTTTTTACAGCCGTGGAGGGAGCATACAGAAGCCCACGACATGCAGGAGATGGATAGTCAAGGCGGCCGGGTGGCACATACAGGAACAGAGAAATGCACGGTCTGGTTCCTCTATGTGCTGCCTGGCCGCCCCTCCTGTCCAGGCAGCCTTGGCCCAATGTGTAAATGCCCAGTGTGCCCTATGGCCACTTCGGGCCTGTGTATATATATATATATATATATATATATATATATATATATATATTATATACAGACACACAGTACCTACCACAGACCCTCTCAGCCATCCAAAAAAATTGACATACCAGTTCCCTGCAATAGGACCACCTTCCTTTTTTCAAGCACCGCAGCAGCCTCCATTAGACTCTTCAGCATCTGACACTTCTGAGAGTGCCAAATTCCTGTTTCTCCTGCCAATGCGGTTCCATTCTCTGACCTCTGCTGTGTTCTGTTCTGACATAAGGGTTGGAAGATGGAACCACAGCATGTGATGAGGACATTACCTGAGGTGTCAAATGCTGAAGAGTCTGATGGAGGCTATAACACCGAAATGGAGCAAAGGTATGAAACCATGGGGTTCCGCCGGTCACATCAAACCCTACTTTGAAATCGTGCGACTTACAGTGAAGTCACGTGATATCAAAGTTGGATGACATGCCGATTTCAGGTGCGATGCGCTAGACATCTGATACAGATGTCTATTCAAATTGCACCAAAAGTAGTGCATGTACTGTCACGGGCGCAAGATTGCCGCCACCAACATGCGACAATCTCACGACCACGACCACCAATATGTCACGAATGCGGCGTCAGACCCCAGACCTTCTCACCAAACTCGTGACCGAAGGACCGGCTGATCCAGACCGCGATGTAACATGCGTAACAATGCTACACCCAACTGCACCCTACACAGCAATTTTCCAGCTAATGGATTTCAATCTGTGCGCTGGTTACTGGGTCGGGTTAATTACGCAACTAACCCTTCACTCCCACCACCCCTTTTTGTACAGAGAAAGGGAAACTCTCTTTATCAAATATACACTGTAATGGTTGAAAAGTCGTCTGTCCAATATGGTCACCGCAGGCCGATTGGGCAGAGGATTAAACAAACACAGTAGCGTCTCTTTAGAGGCAGGAATTCGTAAATTGCAATTAAGCGCTTTAGAAACAGTTTAACACTTTCAGAAAGAAAGATTTATTACTAAAAGAGTCAAACAGGTGCAATAAAATATTTACAGAAAAAGATGTAACTAAGATATATATATATATATATATATATATATATATACAAAGAACCATAGCACAGCAAAGAGATATCAGAGAGGAAGTTAAAGGGTTAAGTTACTTGCCAATTAAGCCTTAGCCGTAAGCAGATCCAAGTTTCAGAGCAAAGGGTCTCCCCAGGTGGTATATTGCTGTTACAATTGGGAGATGTCTTCAACTTAACTTTTTAGGCCTGCTAGCCTGTGTTTTAAAGTCCCCCAGCAGGTGGGTGGCTCTGAGTAACTGACCAATACTCTGTTTAGGGGAGGGATCGTCGGGCGGACTCTGAATTAGAACCAACATCTTCATAATCCATGATATGAAACATAGGGGACAAACTGGCCTGAGGAATGCTCATTTAATTCTGTCACCTAAGATCTGAAATCTACTGGAAGATCAGAATCTACTGATTGCTGACCCCCAACTTAAATTGTTAAACTTTTTCAAACAAACAGTTCCCTGACAGAATATGAAGAGTTAAAGTCATTAGCAAATCATCATACACTACCAAAAAATAAGCAGGCTCTAAACCAGTGGGGAAAAAAAGAGAGGCCCCTCTGCGGATTGTGCAATTTTCTTTTAGCACCATCTAATATGTACAGAAACTCCAACTTTGATGATAAAAGAAAGCAATGCTCCCCAGATGACTGTCTACATTATACCTATTTTATCAAACTTTCTCAGTTCTGAAAAAAAGTAAAGCGCACTACCATGTGCTTGCTCAGAGGCTTTTTGGGACTAGGAGTATCTGACTTTATCAACAGCTGAGCAGCCTCAGTGCTATTATAATAGGTGGAGCTTCCTTTGCATTCCATTAGTCATGACGTCTGTAATCAAAATTAAACTCCTTTTGCAATGGATATCGCTAAACTGACTTGACGTGCATACTTCTGGGAAAAGTAGTGAGCCAATCACAAAAGCAAACATTTGGATTATTTAGGATGTTTCTGTACACCGTGTACAGATTGCATCAATTCACCACACTTAAAAGAAGTATTGTAGGTTTTTTTTCACATATTAGATAAAAAAAACAGGTGTAGCAGATGAAAATGCGTCCAGATCTTCCACACCAATAAATCATATCTAGGCATTACCAGTGACTATGCTACTGATAATGGAAATCAGGCTTTGAGATGGTCTGGAGCTTGTGTTGAAAATCACAGCAGCTGTTAAAAAAAATATATACATTTTTACTATTAGAACAGAACAAATCATTTTGATTTACATTGCGAAAAAAAAAGAACTTAAGAATACATTATGGAAAGTTTAGGTGCATGGGTCATCATCATCAGGGCTGCTGTTAGAAACCATGGGGCCCCATACAGCCGACCTGACAGCCCCCCCCCCCCCCCCCCCCAAAAAAAAAAGACAGTTTACTATGCTTCTGTTATGAATAAACACAGTGAGTGATCAGTACCAATAACTCATTGTGTTCATTCAGAAAAGAAAGGGGTTGGTAAATGTGGGGAAATGTTTGGGAGGGGTGGCAATTACTGGAACTGATCCCCTGTATGGCTCTCTCTGCAGCTTTCAGCTGCTGCAGAGAGAGCCATACAGGGGATTGGTTCCAGTAATTGCCCCCCCCCGACTGTGCTGATCACCCACCCTGCCCATATCCAAATCACCCAGCTGCATGGGCCCCCATGCTAGCCTGGGCCCCGTACAGGAGGACTGGTGGTACCCCACCCGTTATCCACGGCCCTACAGGGGATTGGTTCCAGTAATTGCCCCCCCCCCCCCCCACTGTGCTGATCACCCTCCCTGCCCACATCCAAAGCACCCAGTGTTAGGAATGGACTGGCCAGCAATGGTGGGACTCACCTGCCTTTTGATCTGCAGTACCAGGGCTGGCCAGCGGGTGCTCCCAGCAATCAGAGACTCAACCTTTCAGCCAGCTAACACCTGGAACTGATGATATTGGTGTATTTAAGGGATGGCCAGACTTGCAGACTCTGCCTTGGTGTTGTGTTTGTCCTGGGCCCTGTATCTGTCCTGCATCCTGTTTCTGTTCCTTTGCTGACTTCTCCTGCTCTGATCCTGGCTTGTGACCCTGACCATCCCTCTGTCTGACCCTCTGTACTACGCTGCTTGCTACCTGTTCTGATCCCTGGCTTGTGACCCGGACCATCCCTCTGCCTGACCCTCTGTACTATGCTGCTTGCTACCTGCTGAACCTGGCCTGTGACCCCGACCATTCTCCGCTTGCTCCCCCTGTACCTACCTGCCCAATTGATATTGACCCGGCCTGCCTGACGACGCTTGCTTGTATATACTGTTATCTGTGGGTGGTTTGGTTTGGTTTGTTTTGCACCGTATTATGTTTTAGTATTGCACTGCGTTTATGTTTGTACTGTTAGTGTTAATAAATTATATTGTTTATAACATATCTGAGGTCTGCGTTTCCCTGCTTCAGTCACACACCTCTGGTCATACCTGGGAGCCCTGACATTACACCAAGGCCAATCCTGACCAGAAGTGGCTGCACAGGGAAGCCATCTTGGCTTGTTGATGGGAAGGATGGATCTTGAGGAGGTTGAGTATTTATATCTGCTAGTGTTTGATGACAGGGAGTATGCTTATCAAACTCTGAAGGAGTATACCCGGGATGAATTGCTAGAATGTATACGGCTCGCTCATGTTCTAGTAGATCAGGCACAGTATTCTCTGAGGTGCAGCCATTGATTGAGGTTTGTGCAGAGTTGGTTTCATCTGGTTCCCCCGAATGCAGGGATGAATTTTTGCCACCATTTAGTGCAGACCAGGTAGAGTCCCTGGTGTGGTTATTAGAGGATGATGTGGGTTACTTTCTGGAGCGTTATTCCACATGTTCACCACAGACACTGAGAGATTGTATAAAACGCAGTGCAGTCATTGACCAGACAGACTTTGTGTAAGCTCAGCTTTGTTCAACCCCTACTGCAGACATGGACAGATTTGTTGCACCCAGCCTCAGTCAGCTTACAAAGACCCAGTCCTGCTTCTAACTCTACTCCTGTATTCCCACCAGCTCCTCCAGTTACAGCCCAGTATACTTGGCTATCTACCGCATGTCAGTACCCTGTTCCCACTCGCTGCACCTATCCTGCCTTTAACCCTGTAAAAAAGCCCTCTGTAGCAACTGCTCCCTCTCCTGTTCCATCCTCCAGTTCTTCTCTGTCTCCAGCTGCTCCATTCGTTTGCAGACCTGCGTTTACTTGCAGTGCTCCAGTAGTTAAAACCAGAAAAAAGCGAAAATTCTTTCCAACCAATACCATCCTGCCAGTATCCAAACCGGTGAGCCTGCCTGCACCTATCCGTGGTTCAGACTGATGCCTGTACGCAGCCTGATGCCTCTACTCGGCCTGAAGCCTCTACTCGGCCTGAAGCCTCTACGCGGCCTGAAGCCTCTACGCGGCCTGAAGCCTCTACTCGGCCTGAAGCCTCTACTCGGCCTGATGCCTCTACTCGGCCTGAAGCCTCTCCTCGGCCTGATGCCTCTCCTCGGCCTGATGCCTCTCCTCGGCCTGATGCCTGTACTCGGCCTGATGCCTGTACTCGGGCCTGATGCCTCTCTTCAGCCTGAAGCCTCTACTCGGCCTGATGCCTCTACTCGGCCTGATGCCTCTACTCGGCCTGATGCCTCTACTCGGCCTGAAGCCTCTACTCGGCCTAATGCCTCTACCCAGCATGATGAACTGATCCAGCCTGACGATCCTATTAGGCCAGTTGACTCGATGCCCGCTGTTGATCCAGATGATCCGGTACCTGATCCGGTGCCCGCTGTCGTGCCAATTGACTCAGAGCCCGCTGTCGTACCTAGTGACTCGGTGCCCACTGCCTTGCCAGATGACGCGGTGCCCGCTGGCAAGCCAAATGACCTGATGCCTGGTGACCTAGTGTCCGCTGTCATACCTGATGACCCGATGCCCGCTGTCGAGCCAGACAATCCGGTACCTGATGACCCGGTGCCCTGTCGTGCCTGTTGACTCGGAGACCACTGCCTTGCCAGATGACGCGGTGCCCGCTGTCGAGCCAAATGAACTGATGCCTGGTGACCCGATGCCCGCTGTCCAGCCAGACGATTCAATGTCTGCCCCGGTGCCCGCGGTCATGCCAGTTGACTCGGAGCCCACTGCCTTGCCAGATGATGCGGTGCTCGCTGTCGAGCCAAATGACCTGATGATGCCTGGTGACCCGATGCCCGCTGTCCAGCCAGACGATTCAATGTCTGCCCCGGTGCCCGCGGTCATGCCAGTTGACTCGGAGCCCACTGCCTTGCCAGATGACGACCGGTGCCCGCTGTCGAGCCAAATGACCTGATGCCTGGTGACCCGATGCCCGCTGTCCAGCCCAGACCATCCAATGTCTTACCCAGTGCCTGCGGTCATACCAGTTGACTCGGAGCCCACTGTCGTGCCTGGTGTCTCGGTGCCCGCCGCTCCGCCTGGGGGGCCCGAGACCTGTTGCTCCGCTTGGGGGTCCAGCGCCCGCCGCTCCCGCCTGGGGATCCGGCGCCCGCCGCGCCCCGCCTGGGGGCCCGAGACCTGTCGCTCCGCCTGAGGGCCCGAGACCTGTCGCTCCGCCTGGGGGGTCCGGCACCTGCCACTCCGCTTGAGGGCCCGAGACCTGTCGCTCCTCCTGGGGGTCCGGCGCCCGCCGCTCCGCCCCTGAGGGCCCGAGACCTGTCGCTCCACCTGGGGGGGTCCGGCGCCCGCCGCTCCGCCTGAGGGCCCGAGACCTGTCGCTCCACCTGGGGGTCCAGCGCCCGCCGCTCCGCCTGAGGGCCCGAGACCTGTCGCTCCTCCTGGGGGTCCGGCGCCCGCCGCTCCGCCTGAGGGCCTGAGACCTGTCGCTCCTCCTGGGGTCCGGCGCCCGCCACTCCCGCCTGAGGGCCCGAGACCTGTCGCTCCACCTGGGGGTCCGGCGCCTGCCGCTCCGCCTGAGGGCCCGAGACCTGTCGCTCCTCCTGGGGGTCCGGCGCCCGCCACTCCGCCGCCTGAGGGCCCGAGACCTGTCGCTCCGCCTGGGGGTCCGGCGCCTGCCGCTCCGCCTGAGGCCCGAGACCTGTCGCTCCACCTGGGGGTCCGGCGCCCGCAGCCGCTCCGCCTGAGGGCCCGAGACCTGTCGCTCCTGGGGGTCCGGCGCCCGCCGCTCCGCCTGGGGGCCCGGTGCCTGTCGCCCCGCCTGGGGGCCCGGTGCCTGTCGCCCCGCCTGGGGGCCCGGTGCCTGTCGCCCCGCCTGGGGGCCCGGTGCCTGTCGCCCCGCCTGGGGGCCCGGTGCCTGCCGCTCCGCCCGGGGGCCCGGTGCCTGCCGCTCCGCCCGGGGGCCCGGTGCCTGCTGCTCCGCCTGGTGGCCCGCTGCCTGCTGCTTCGCCTGGTAATCCGATGTGCCTCTGCCCGGAGTCCTGCCCGATGTGCCTCTGCCCGGAGTCCTGCCCCGATTGTGCCTCTGCCCGATGTGCCTCTGCCCGGAGGTCCTGCCCGATGTGCCTCTGCCCGGAGTCCTGCCCGATGTGCCTCTGCCCGGAGTCCTGCCCGATGTGCCTCTGCCCGGAGTCCTGCCCGATGTGCCTCTGCCCGATGTGCCTCTGCCCGGAGTCCTGCCCGATGTGCCTCTGCCCGGAGTCCTGCCCGATGTGCCTCTGCCCGGAGTCCTGCCCGATGTGCCTCTGCCCGGAGTCCTGCCCGATGTGCCTCTGCCCGGAGTCCTGCCCGGTGTGCCTCTGCCCGGAGTCCTGCCCGATGTGCCTCTGCCCGGAGTCCTGCCCGATGTGCCTCTGCCCGGTGTGCCTCTGCCCGATGTGCCTCTGCCCGGAGTCCAGCCCGGTGTGCCGCTGCCCGGAGTCCTGCCCGGTGTGTGCCAGTCTTTGATATCCCGCCAGTTGCCAGACCCGGGCGGTGGAACATTTTGCCCAGCTAGGACTGTTTGGAGCGTCCTGAGGCCGCTCCTTGAGGGGGGGGTACTGTTAGGAATGGACTGGCCAGCAATGGTGGGACTCACCTGCCTTTTGATCTGCAGTACCAGGGCTGGCCAGCGGGTGCTCCCAGCAATCAGAGACTCAACCTTTCAGCCAGCTAACACCTGGAACTGATGATACTGGTGTATTTAAGGGATGGCCAGACTTGCAGACTCTGCCTTGGTGTTGTGTTTGTCCTGGGCCCTGTATCTGTCCTGCATCCTGTTTCTGTTCCTTTGCTGACTTCTCCTGCTCTGATCCTGGCTTGTGACCCTGACCATCCCTCTGTCTGACCCTCTGTACTACGCTGCTTGCTACCTGTTCTGATCCCTGGCTTGTGACCCGGACCATCCCTCTGCCTGACCCTCTGTACTATGCTGCTTGCTACCTGCTGAACCTGGCCTGTGACCCCGACCATTCTCCGCTTGCTCCCCCTGTACCTACCTGCCCAATTGATATTGACCCGGCCTGCCTGACGACGCTTGCTTGTATATACTGTTATCTGTGGGTGGTTTGGTTTGTTTGCACCGTATTATGTTTTAGTATTGCACTGCGTTTATGTTTGTACTGTTAGTGTTAATAAATTATATTGTTTATAACATATCTGAGGTCTGCGTTTCCCTGCTTCAGTCACACACCTCTGGTCATACCTGGGAGCCCTGACACCCAGCTTCATGGGCCCCCCTACTGGCCTGGGCCCCGTACAGGAGGACTGGTGGTACCCCCTTATCCATGGCCCTGGTCATCATTATAATGACAGGGACAAGCTTCTAATCTCATGTCAGTGTATGTGAGAATGGTCCAAGTATGGCTTACCTAAAGCAACCTGTTTTTTTAAACAATGATCTTTGTTAGACCACCCAAGGACACTTAATATACTTCTACACTTGAGATATATGAAGTGTTCTGATAACAGAATTCCAGTCCAATGGCCATTCTTAGAGATATGCTAAGAATGTCAATATTAACTTGTACATGTTAAATCTGATCATTTATTTTAAAGATATCCTTCCATGTCCTTAAATGGTGGATAATAAGAAGATCATATTTTTCATCAAAGTGACCTGACCTCAGAATGAGGATGGTCTACCATTATTATTACGAACACTGATGCAGTTATATGTCTGATTTACATCAGTTGATATACTTCTTCTCATTCAGCCATTCATTTCCCAATCATTACTTCAGATTGGATTGTTTGCGCATGCCTTTGGATGAAGTTAAATGTTATACCAGGAATTTAGAAAGTAGAGCTGTGCATTTTTTTTATAGCAGTAGTTAAAACCAGGGGCGGACTGACCATTTGAGCACTTGGGCACCGCCTGAGGGCCTGGGGTCAGTAGGGGCCCCATGAGTTGCCCCTGGTACCTTTTTCTAGGTTTTTTGGGTGTAGGCAAGGACACGGGGGCCCCATGATCCCCTATTGCCCGGGGGCCCCATGAGTTGTCAGTCCGCCCCTGGTTAAAACTTTATGTTTACATATCTCTTGGTTCCTGTTGATGACTGGCACCAATCTGTCAGCCCTATTTTTAACAGGAACAAATAAAATGTACTGGGCAATACAGGAGTTTGCAGATTTCAGTCTGATTATTACAGATTCTGGATAACTGTGTGTGAAAAAGCAAATCTCTCTTTCCATAATACAGATACACTACACACACCAAGTCTGTTCTCTGGCACAAATGACCTTCCAAACTTTTTCTAGCTGTCCTTATTTCCAGGAACACTCCCTGGTCCTGAAAAAAACTCCTAACATGCAGGAGTCAATTCTTATCCTCTATTCATCTTATACAACATTGTTCTTAAAAAAATATTTTTTTAAGGGGGGGGGGGGGGGGGTAATTGCCTATAGCTCACAGGGCATTTTCTGATGAAAGTCTTTATTGATTTTCAGCCACGGCTGGAGTTTGCATGTTCTCCCTGTGCCTGCGTGGGTTTCCTCAGGTACTCTGGTTTCCTCCCACACTCCAAAGACATGCTGGTAAGTTAATTGGATCCTGTCTAAATTGACCCTAGTATGTGTACTGTATGTATTTATATCAGTTAGCAATCTTAGTATTTAAGCTCCTTGAGGGCAGGGGCTGATGTGAATGTACAATATATATGTATAAAGCGCTGTGTATATTGACGGCACTATATAAGTACTATATAAGTACCTAGAATAAATAAATAATCAAATAAATAAAAAATGATGTCTCTCTCTGTCTAATCTACCATAATACAGTAGAATCAAGTACTGGAGCTGCGACTCTGTCTAGCACTGCCCATATTGAACCCCAAGTGCTTAATCAGTTCCTTACTGTGCTATAGCTAAGAGACAGCTACAGCCTGGTCGGCTAGTTCTGGGAGGGCGTCCAAAGACGTCCTTCCAAAACCACAACCCCCGTGCCCCCCGTGGGACGTGCACCCTGTGCGATCTGTGATCATTGTGTCTTCAGACATAGCTGATCATGTGCTCAAGGGCCAATCAGAGCCGCCTTTTACCATGTGATCAGCTGTGTTAAAATGAAATGCTGGTTATCGGCAGTCCTCTGCTCAGGTTGACAGTGTGTGAGGAGAGGAGAGGAGAGCCGGTAAGCAGCATTTTTCAGGTGGACATCTACACTGATCATCCAGGAACTGATCATCAGTGCCCTGATGATCAGTTTAGCCCCATCAGTGTGGCCAATAGTGCCCATCAGTGCTGGCTATCAGTGCCCATCTTTGCTGGCATTTAGTGCCTATCAGTGCTGGCTTTCAGTGCCCATCAGTGCTGACTATCAGTACCCATCAGTGTTGGCTATCAGTGCCTCCTTAGTGCTGGCTGTCAGCGTCCATCAGTGCTGCCTATCAGTGCTGCCTATCAGTGCCCATCAGTGTCACCTATCAATGCCCATTAGTGCCAAATATCGGTGCAGCCTCATCAGTGCCTCTTCATCAGTGCAGCCTATCAGTGCCCATCAGTGCAGCCTCATCAGTGCACATCAGTTTAGGAATAAAACCACTTATTTACAAAACTTTATAACAGAAACTAAGAAAAACTTTTTTTTCAAAATGTTTGGTCTTTTTCATTTGTTTGGCAAAAAAATTAAAAATACTTCCAAAAGAAAGTTATATTTCTGTAAAAAAAATTATAAAAAATTTAGTTTGGGCACAGTGTTGCATAGCCGCGTAATTGTCATTCAAAGTACAACAGTAATGAAAGCTGAAAATTGGCCTGAGCAGCAAGGGGGTAAAAGTGCCCGATAGGCAAGTGGTTAAACAATCTCAAGAAACAACTATTAGCTTGTCATCATGCATCCAGAAGCCTGACAGCCAAATTTTCTCCATAGATGAGTATGATCACTACAGCAAAGAGCAGCCTCCTGTGTAAACAGCCAACAAGTAGTCCTAAGGTAAGCTAGATCATTTTAGGAACAAACAGTTTCATGATTCCATTGCTGACTTTGGCAACCATCGGATAGGTCAACTTCAGGCTATCAATAGGTTTAACAATTCTATAACCCATCCTGAAGATCTAATGGGGAGATATACAAAAGGAAATATATATTTTCTGAAAGAAATAACAAAAGTGTGCTCATTCCAGAACTGGAAAGGTTGGGCATTTAACAGTGCCAAAGTAGTTCATAAACAAATCTTTATAGGTGTCACAACTATTCTTGTTACTCAAAAATATAATCAGAAAAAAAATATTTCTTTTTACATTGGTAAAACGATCAGTATGTAAAAAAAAATATACAGGCTCCCCAAATTATTTTTATAGGTAAAATGTACATAAATTATGATAGCATAGTTATTGTTTTAACAAGACCAACTACCCTTTCCCAGCAATTACAAACCATATTTCTAAAGGAAGAAATTACAAAGCAAGTAGACAGGGAGGTAATGGCACATAGGAAGACACAAGGAGGCAATCTGTGACAACCCATGTGGGATACACCCCAAAGGTGTATATATGGGCAACATATATTGTCTCAGCATGCATTCTCCAAACGAATGCCAGGCCTCCTGCCCAGGGGCGGACTAGGGGATCATGGGGCCCCTGTGTCCTTGCCCAAAACTCAAAAAAGCCTATGAAAAAGGTGAAGCAGGGGCATCTCATGGGGCCCCCTACTGACCCCCTGGGCCCTCGGGCAGTGCCCTAAATGCCCGAGTTTGCAAATGGTCAGTCCGCCCCTGGTTGCCAGAGAGCCCTGGGAACCACCAGCTCGGCCACAGCCATAGAGCACATCACCTGCAGTGATTCGGACAAACAAACGCAGCAGCGAGGAGCCTTGCATGACATGCTTTATATGTGCGACTACATCCTATGCTTGTGAGTTATTAGTACCTATTAATAAAAAAAGTGTTTTTCTACTCCCAATACTGCAACTCAGATGGCACTATTGTTCTTCACTCAATGCTCATAAAATGGCTGATGGAAGGCAATTTCTTCTGCTACATTTCGTAGAGTGGACTAAATCTGTGTTCCACACAGAAATTCCCCTTAAGAAAAAATATAAATTGCCCTGTATGAAAAAATGTATCTCAGGGGATATAAAAAAAAATCCACGAGGATTATTCACAAAAGCAATGGTCCTTAATTTAACCAGGGTTTTTAATGAATCTATATCAGCATGAGAGATGACCCTCTCACATCTATA